TTTCTTTAAGCTGAACTCAAAGCAAACAAATATATATACTGTACATCTATTTATGTTTTACCTGACAAAGGGTTTGTCAATTCATTGCTGATATTTGCACCACTCTTCTAGACAGTGCAGCCAGTGTAGTGGCCTGACATTTTGTATTGCAGTTAAAGGAGAACTATGGGGTTAAGTCTTTTCCCCATAGTTCTCCTTAGGGTAACAGGAAGACACAAACTAGCGTCCTCCCGTCACCCTAGGCTCAGTATACCGCGAGCTGTAGCTTGCGGCATACTGAGACGCACCCCCCCCTCCGCACCGCCTGGTAACCCCCCGCGCTGCCACGCTGAGCCAGTCACACTGTTATTATTATACATATATATAGCTCTGATATATACCGCAATGCTGTACAGAGAACAGGCGGGCAGTGAGAGAGCTCAAAGCTGGGAGGAGGTGAGGCGTGTGGCATGAAGCGTGCGGTGCGTGTGGAGCCACAAAGAGGGGCAACTAATCAAAAGCCGACTAATCGATGATGGAAAACGTTGACAACATTAATCGATCAGTCTCTGTACAGAGGAGCTTACACTCTAATGTTCTTCCCCCAGTTACATCAGTCTCTGTACAGAGGAGCTCACCCTCTAATGCCCCCCCACAGTCACATCAGTCTCTGTACAGAGGAGCTTACACTCTAATGTCCACTCCCCCACAGTCACATCAGTCTCTGTACAGAGGAGCCTAAACTCTAATGCCCGTCCGTCACATCAGTCTCCGTACAGAGGAGCTTACACTCTAATGAACACCCTAATGCCCCCCCCCCCACAGTCACATTACCCGCTGGATGGAGGGCTTTGTGACACGCTGGACGCAGGGCTTCATGACCCGCTGGACACTAGACATGTGCACCGGCAAAAAAAATGTTTAGTTTCATCTTGTTTTGATTCGGATCTTGCGTTATCTAGTTTTTCGGGATTCGGACGAAATTCGTTAGCAGTAGTCTGTACAAATGTTCATTTCCGTTTCGTTCGTATCGTTCGTTTCATTGCAGCAAAGTGACATTAAAACATTTTTTTTTAAATTGTCACTTTGCTGCAATGAAAGCTTACACTTTACCGCTAACGAATTTCGTCCGGAAAACTGATTTTTCAGAAACGAATCGCACATGTCTACTGGACGCAGGGCTTAGGGTTAGTTCACACCATAAGCAGTGCACTCCGGTCCGATTCTGGCCAGAACGCACTGCTCGCATTGCGGCCGGCTCACTTTTTTGCCGGGCTGGGGGGGAGGGTGTGTGCTGGGCCATTGAGGTGAATGGCACCACTATCAAAATAGTGCTTGCAGCATTTTAATCGCCCAGCACCCGAACGCACTGCAGGCACAATGTGCCTTGCGATCCCGTGCGGGCGATCGCATTGCGGCCGGAGGGTTTGACTACGACGCCATTCACTTCAATGGCCCGCCAGGCCCCTCCTGCCCGGCCAACAAGTGAGCCGGCCGCAATGCGATGCAGTGCGTTCCGGCCAGAACGTACTGCAAGTGGTGTGAACAGGCCATAAAACGGTACCAAGAGCACGGCTGCAGAATCAGCCATATTCTTGGTATAACCACTTCCAGCGGAGCATGTACATTTACATGAACCCGCGGAAGTGGTTAAAAAAACACACATGTAATGAAACACGCATATCACACACTCATTAAAAACACACACACAGCTTCATTCATTTTAAAAAAAAATCACACACACATTAAAAAAACACAATAAAAACACACACACACATGTAATAAAATACGCATATCACACACTCATTAAAAACACACACATAGCTTCATTAATTTTTTTTAAAAAGTCACACACATGTTAAAAAAACACAATAAAAACACACACACAACTAATAACAATACTGCCGCTACATGCTGCAGCCATCTTTAAAAACATAATGTGCAGTCAGTCACTGCAGTGGACACAGGGGGACACCGGAGGCCCGCACAGAGCACCTCAGGTGAGGATCTCGAGTGTGCGGGCCCCGGCTTCCTCCAGTGCTGCGGGGGTCTGGCCGCCTCCACCTCCTGCCAGTCACCTGTATGGCCAATGGCCGATACGCAAGTAAGGTTCCTGGGCCCCTCAGGCTGCCTGGGCCCCTTACTTGGGTATCGGCTGTACCCCCCTGACGGCGGCCCTGCGTCCAAGCACTACTGTACCGGGGACAGCAAGAGGCTGATACTAAGTTAAAGTATGTACTAACACAAGTTGCTTAAAAAAAACTTGTAACACATACCTGCATAACTTTTTCTGTCAACCTGCATACAGTTCAACTTTAAATTTGTTTGCTTTTAAAAACTATTTACACAAAAAGGTTTACATGATTTTTTATTTAAAATTTACAAATTCCAACAAATCAAATTCAAGTTATCTAATTAAAAACATATTTTTCTCATTTGACCATGCAGATAATTGTATCGAGTATTTAAAAACCGTCACCACCACAGGATTTACTGGGAGATATTTCTCACCTAGATAGTCTGTTGATAGGGATGAATGTGAATGGGGGATGTTAATCTAACTGGTTCTTATACCCTTTTCTAGGTTACATTCTATTAGTAACCTTCTGGTATACTGTACATACAAAAAGTTAAGCAAAAGTTGTACTTGGGGAAAGAAACACTCAGCTGCAACCTTTTGACAACTAGATAGCAGAATGAGTGACAAGATATCAGACTGAGATAACATACCATATCAAATGCATTAGAAGCTGTAGCAAGTCAGTTAGAGGCCGTCTCAATTCTGGGCTGGAGGACATACATCGTCATCTAGCTCTTTCCCCCCTGCCTTACTCTTCCTAGCCCACCCCTTTCATGTATTAGATTTCAGTTCTCTCAGTCATGGAGGCTCAGCATGGCCATGAAGACTCAGCTTCCCATACTCCATTACTTGCATCAGGGCTGAGGTATCTTTAGAAAAGTCATGAGGCAGGGTCCTCATGTTTTCAGGAAGCTATGTACAGCACCCTACTGGTCCCTCTCATCTGTCATGATCTGCATGCATTGCATAGATAAGCACTGAGACCCAGTGCTGACATTACTGCATCTAAAATTAGGTAAGTAACGAAAGCAGAAAGGCTTTACTTAAATGTCATGTGAGCATATAGATGAGGGGAGCATGGGAAACTAGGAAAAACTAAATATAAGCAGATTAGACTTAAGCTTTTTAAGCTTGCAAAAAAGAAAAATGCCAGTAGGAAGGCTTTTTTTTTTTGCAGTAGAGACTTACTATGCAACTCAGTTTACAATCTCAGCATGTCTTGGTGAAAGGATTATTTAGCTTTTGTGGACATGCACATAAGTTACTTCATACTGAGCCAGCCAAACAAAATAGACAAAGACACTCAACCCGCAAAACTGGGTGAAGAATTCAGCACGCATGAGTCAGCTTGTAAACATTGCATTGATGGAGCAGAGGTAAGTATTGTTCAGTTTAGTTCTACTTTAAAGAAAATCTGTCACAAAAACAAAAGCCGCTGACTGGTATGACGTGCATCCACTTAGAGGTGCTAGCAGATACCTGCAGCAGCTTTCAGTACCTCCTGCTTTGCGGAAATGCAAGGCCGTTCTGACAGGTAAAGCTCTGACACTTTCCTATTAGCTCACCAATATGTTGGAATGCGTCACGGGCCAGAGAAATGTATAGGAAATAGGAAGGAGAGGCACGCTTTGGAACCATCATGAAGAACCAGAATTCGGGCAAAGCAATAGGTAATAAAAGCTGCTGAAACACTTCTAGGTGTTTGTACTTCATACCTGTCAGCAGCATTTGGTTTTATCAATGTGACTCTAAGGGGGAAATTTATCAAAACTGGAGCAGACAAAATCTGGAGCAGTTGCCCAGCGCAACCAATCAGCTGCTGTATTCAGTTTTTCAGTTAAGATTTGAAAATGAAAGAAAGAAGCTGATTGGTTGCCATGCACAGCTGCTTCAGATTGTGTCTACTCCAGTTTTGATAAATCCCCCTCTAAGAGTCTCTTTAGGCTAACAGCTAATCTTCTTGAACATCCTCAGTTGCACCACATCTACTTGTTCTAGGCACTAGCTTTTCTCCCAATATGAAAAAGAATGCCCAATTCAACAGATGACCACCTTGAACTTTGTCCATATGTTCACCCCAATGTTCTTTTGTAGTCACTCTCAGTCTGATGGCCAAGACACACCTAGAAGCTCCCCTCATCAATCACCAATCTTGACAGCTTTCTGCACAGCGAGGAATCTTCCCCAACCTCCCACGGTAATATGCATGCCTGTAAAGTGGACCCATCAGCCCATTACATGTCTAACCCATTTTCCGCAAGGATGACTCCATCTTCTTATATTATGGAAACATGTCTAACCACCCTACCAACAGCAGCATTCTGAAAGCCCACTAAGATAGACATGTAATACACTCATTTCGTTTTTTACTTTTAATTTTGTTTGTTCTGACACTGGTGGATAAATAAAAGATTCCCATTAAATAATTAGATTTTGAGGTACTATCCAAATGGGTAGTACAAAGGAAAAACTATCTATTGTGTACTCTCTCTTTTTATTTGCCTCTTGAAGTAGGATCTCAAGGGTTTTAAAGTACAGAACTATTGCTCAAAGCATAAAGTGAACTTGTGGAGGGCAAAGAAACAATTTACTTTAATGCTAGCCCCGCAGATGCCTAAACGTATGCTCTGTTTGTGGTGTTACAGAAATACTGCTTCTGTCTACAATACTAAGCTGAGCATTCCTTTTGTCAGTGGTATTACTGGTAACTTATCACTGTTTCTGTAGTTACCCTGTAGTATGTAGAGTTGCTATTGAATTTGGAATCATTGGTCCTTCTCTGACAGTACAGTCACATAGGATGTTGGCTATATACTGTATGACCATGGTGTTTTTAAACGGTTTTCTACTCAAAATTGTTGTGGAACCAGAAAAATGTATGTGTACACAAATTACATTTTCCCTTCGCTTAGTATTCAAGTATGCAAAAAAGTTATCTTACCTCTGCATCTTGGGAGCTTTTGCTTTCTGCTTTTTCCAGTGTGGTTTTCTTTAATACAGGCATTGTGTAGCAGCAAGAATGTTAACCTTGTTCTCTAAGGAAGTTCAGCCTATAAGGAAATAAGATTACATTGCAGTGAAAATCACAAAAAATGAAACAAAGGTTTTGACTTGAGATTTCTGATTTGTATGGATGTTGGCTGTTTTTATTATCACAATAGTAGTAGCTCAACCTAACGGAATGTAGATAGACATAAGGTGTATATGAGCACACAAATGCTCATTCAATACCTTGGTACTTTCAAGCAAATGGCACTAGGCATGGGATCATGCATGTCCCTAACAGTCAAGTGGGTCAGTTGTTTTAGAACACCAGACCTGAGGCAGTATATTGGTGGATTTTCAGCATCCCTATTAATCTATTCCACTTTGTGACCTAGTTTATGACTTAATTTGTTCAACCTGGGATATGACCCCAAGTCTTCTTTTTGGAAACCATGCGTCTGCCTACTTTGTTTCTGTTTTAGACTTTTTTTTTTTTTTTGTAGCCAACCCTGATCCTGGCATTCTTTGACTATCATCTGGCTCTTGACTTTGTACCTCACTTGGCTTGAACCTGATGCTAGCAACTTTAACCAGTTTTCATTCTTCTTTTTTTTTACTTATAATGCCACTGGTACAGAAAATGTGGGGGCTACAACCAAGGCATTACTATGTGGCTATGTCTGTCATTTTTTGTGTGTGGGGTGAAGACCATTTGCTCTTTAAACTGTGTGTCCCACTGATGGCGTGTGGAGAACTTTCAGACCAGTATTGTGCTGTACTTATTCCTGGTGCATGTGCTCTTCCCCAAACACCAGTAGCCCTAATTCTTCATCAAGACATTCGCACACTCACTATTTTACAACTGTTTTTTGGTTATAGAAGTGTGATCTTGTCTGATGGAGTTCCAAGCTGCAACTATTGTGTTAGCTTTAGGCCCCCTCTTCCTATTACTCTCCTCCTGGATTTTCATTTAATCCCATTAAAATTCAAATAGGGCTAGAGCGAAAAATGTGTTCAGCCTACAAACAAATTATACTGTAATTGTTGCAGAGAAGGGTGGAGTCAAGGACTGCAACAGGAACTTTCACCTTTGAACTCTAGAAGACATATATAGAGTAACATGTCATCCACCAAAATCTGCAAATTCAGCAGATTTTAAAAATGGTGTAAGTGTAATATCACCTAGTTTGTCATGTGAATTTTGATTTTGCATTAAAAAGTAGATAGTGAGGTCAAAACTGCTAGAACAAAAAATTATTTCCAGACAGATATAAAAGAAAACACAATAGAATTCAGTTATGTATTGATTTAAAAATAATTATATTTATTTTTGATATACAACATGGCAAATTCCTGAATTTGTCTTGACACTTTACTCTGTCATTCCTTGCACAGCAGCACATATACTGGGAGAGGGAGGGGTGGTACAGGGAGCTAATCAGGCTGTGATGCATGTGCTAACAGGATACACAGGGCCAGGGGCTGCCACTGGGCAAACTAGGCAGCCGCCTAGGGCGCACTGCTATCTAGGATGCAGCCTTGACCACTCACCCCCATGGCGCCCCTCATCTATTTCAAATTGCAAAAGCCAATAGCAGGCTGGCTATTGCACCCACCCACTGAGCAGGGGAGCGTAACTGAGAGACAACTTTCTGGAAGGGGTTTCAATAGCAAGTCTGCTGCTGGCTATTTCAAATTAAATGACATCCACCTGTTGCCTGCAGAAACTAACCCACAGGAGAATAGGGTTGTGCAGGGGGGGGGGATTGGGGTTTGCGCCACGGGAGGGGGTGCTGGTATCTAGTCTTGCCTAGGGCGCAAAATAGTCTAGTACAGGCACTGTGGGTACATGATCACAGTAGTGAGCAGAGATGATAACCTTTCAGTGTGTTGCTACTCTTAGATTTTTCTGTCAGCATGCTGCAGGTGGGGAGGTGCTATCACTGTATTCATTGACTTTAACAGAGAAAGTGGTGTTACTTTCCTGGCTGTGTTGTCTGGCAGAGCAGTATGAATCCAAAGAGTGACTGGATAGTAATGCAAAACGTTTGGCAGACAACAGACAAGATTGTTCAAATGTGTGTACTCAACTGTGTAAATGTGTATTTAGTGGCTTGCTTGGAGATCAGCTTTAATACAGTTAAAAGATGGCTGACCGTTTTCCTTGGGTTTCCACTTTCATGTATATTTATATGGTTTACACATATATTGCCGCATTTTAAGTAAACATAACTATGCTTTTACTATACACAATCTGTAAAAATATATATTTTAGTCTGTTACATTACATAAAGTCTTTTACGTTACATAACAACACTGCTGAAAACTTCCAAGTTCGATGACTGACAATATTTAAGATCAAACTGTGCTTTTAAAACACTTTGGGCTTATTTCAGTAGCATCAGTTTGGGATCAGTAAGGATTCATTTAGGGCCTATTCACACCACAGCACTGCAGTAAGGCATGGTATCCATGAATTTAGCGCACACAATCGCACAACACAGCGTGCCGCACGCTAGGTGTGCTGGTGCGCTGCATTGTCATTCATCCTGAATGGCACCCTAACACACCTCCCAGCGGCTGTGTGTTGCACTGCAACGCACAGTGATCAAGTTGTGTTGCCAATCATTGAAAAAAAGTGTATGCGCTACTTTTTTCAATGTATGCTATTGCATTACCATTCCTCGCACCTAGCATGTGATGCATTGCATTGTACGATAATGTGCACTAAATGCTCAGATACCATGCCTTTAGAACAATGTAATAATGTGATGGGCCCTGACAGGTGCATTTGACCTGCACTTGACCTTGAATTAAATAGTAAACCGTACTGATGTTAATCAAAGCAGGTCGACACAGGCCCTTGATCTATCAATGTACTGTATACCTAGCAACTTTGCAAGTACCAAGCAACTTACTTCTATTTTCTTTTCCTGCACTTTCAGCACCATCATCACAGTTTTAGGCTGCTGTAAACATGACTTATTTATGTAAACATGAATTTACATTTAGCTAGTCCGTGTCTGCACCTCAGCTACATTCTGAGAGTGAGCCATGGAAGGCACCTGCTCCAAATATGCATTTATACAATATCCTTACTGCCATGAGATATATATGATTATTTTTGTGCTGCACTGCACTTATGCAATCACTGCAGATCTGTTTACGAATTGCTAGAGACCAGTAGCCCTGCTTATCTTTAGGTACAGTGTAGAGAGAATGTGTCTACAGAATGGGACTAAAAGAAAGAGAGGGATCATGGATCCCTGTAGATACCTGCCTATTACAATAAAATGGAATGTGTGGTTGGGCAAGGCTTAGCTAAACCTATGCAGAAGCTGCCTTCTTTTTCAAACTCCACTGAATTTATGACTGCATTGCTGCCATTTGTGCTTAGAAATAATTTTTGACTCCCCACCCAAGGTAAGGATGCCAAAGTGTGCTCCCCCCCCAGCAAAGATGTATATTTGCATGCAGGGTGTAGAAATGACAGCTCCTGTTCACTGGTCCTAGGGTTGCTAATTTTTTTGTCCATAGAAAATAAAACGGTATAGGGTGAGCTGCTGTGATGTTCCATTGTGATTTAGTGATAATGAGCATGCTTAAAATGGAGCCAGGTTTCCATTAAAATTATGGAAAACAAAATGTGTTCTTTCATCTGGCATCTAAACTCATGAAAAGTATACATTTATTCTGCAATTTGTTTTAATTTTATAATGGCATTAGAATTATATTTCTGGTACAACTTTTTTTTTTTTAAATCTGCAAAAATGATCAAATGTAAATGTAAAAATCATACAGTAAAAAAAAAATAGCTAAATGAAGTAGAGGCTAAAGATCTAACACACACACAGTAGGAATAACTAAGCTTTAATAAGGGGCTAAAATGTTATTAAAAAAAGGTTTTTACAATTTACATGCTCTATAACCGTCATTTATGAATTAAGGCTACAGCAGTAGCTCCCCCTACTAGTCTGCCCAGCACTGTATCCAAGGCAGTGCCTCTTCTGCCTTTGACTCATTTTAAGTGGTATTGGTGTGTTGTATATGTTAATATTTTAATTAATCAGATAAAATATCTGACACTTTCAACAGGGCTGTATTTAGATGGGAAGTGATATGGATGCCCTTTTGTTCAGACATTATTCTATAGTCCACCTGTGAGGATCTGGCTGCAGGCCAAAATCGATTTATTGCATGTTGTGTACTGCCTTTACCTGTGCACTATCCTTCCTGCACCTCTCTTTGCTTTCCTCTTGCTGTTTGTTTGCTGCTGATTACTTGGTGTGGTGGTAGCCCCATAAGAGAATTTAGACCTCAGTGACCAATATCACTCTCCTGTGAGAGAGAAAGAGAGAGATAATAGACCTTCACTGACTGTCTCATAAGAGACTGCTGACCTCAGCGACTAATTACACACCTCCAAGAAAAAAGACTGTTCATGACTGTGTCACTGTAAATTAGAAACTGGTAAGCCTAAACAGCAGGAGAAACAAACTTACTCGATCTTCAAAATTCAATTTGCTTTTACAAAATCACTGTGAATCTTCCTCAGCAGTAACAGTCACATGACTACAGAGTGTGCTCTCCTCTCTGTGGTTTAGCATGTTACAGAGGACCTCCAGAGGCAAAGTGCTGTTGAAACCCACTGAAGCTCTTAGGGAACCCTGACCTTGTTGACTGTACATCATAGAGCACTCTCTCCCTGGGTCCCAATGAACTGATGGGGCCCAAGGAGAGAGCTCACTATTTAATAATTTTTGCCCGCACCCAGCGAAGTAATCCAGGGAGCCACAGCTCTGAAAATAGATTAACGTTTTGGCCTTAGTATGGGTGCCTGGCTGGCGGATTTATACCCTGGAAGAGAGGGGAGGTGTTAGAGGCCACATCAGAGTAGGTAGTTTTGCAAGACGTTTCGTTTATTATTGGGAGCCACGGCTCCCTGGATAACTCTGCCTGGTGTAGCCGAAAATGATTAAATAGAGCGCTCTCTTTCCTAGACCACCGAAGAATTGATAGGGTCCAAGT